AAAAAAAAAAAAAAAAATCGGGCGTAGCGATTCCTTTAGAATTTTAATATCACTTGCCCGGTCAGTCAGATGGCCGTCTTTACCCAAGTTCGTCTGCTTCTTTTGTTTAGGTTTTAGTTACGTCAGGACGCTTAAATCTGATTGGCTTGGATTTGAGGGATAGCGGATAGTAAACCTCAAGGCGAGCTGCCTCGAGGTCTACTCGTTATCCTTCAATCAGAGCCAATCAGAGCTAAGCGTTCTGACGTCACCATAACCCCCCCCCCCCCCCTCCTCCCCGCAAAACAAAGCAGACGAACTCGTGCTATGCACAATTGCGAAGGATGAATCACGAAGCAGGAAGCGTGAATACCGCCAGTAGCGCCCCGCGTTTATTAAGATGTCCCCGACCATAACTCGGTTTCACTTTAGGTCCGACCCCTGTCGACGCCCCGGTTTGATGGAGCCAAACAATCAGCGCAAAAATTGTATCGTCACGTCGTTCGACTTCTTTGTGCTTATTATCACGAACTAAACCAGTCACGCATATAAATGCGCCACGATCCTGCGATTTTTGTTTTATATGCGTAATTAATTTGTCGGTGCAAAGCAAAAGAAACCCGGGATGACATACGAGTGCCATGACGATACGCGTTAGGGGCTGCTTCATAGGCTCGGATGAATGGATGGATGTTAGTGGCTATACCTTCTTTAACGGGCGTTAGCTTCAGCCACCTAGCGGAAGTCGAAATCGGCAAACACACGATTCCTCCCGCTCTTTTAGGCTAATTTTCTCCCCCTTACTATCTCCATGAAGTGTGGAATATCACCAAGATAAGGTCCATCGGATCGTGGTGTCGATTGCGGTTGGGCTTAAAGTGAAGCGAAGTATAAATACAATTTGTCCCCCCTCAAGAAAAAAATAATTGTTGTCCCCTTTTCCCTCCTGCAAGTATGAACTACTCATCGCCGAACGCTCATTCTCCGCCTTAATGTGTCGATAGCGGACCAAACCAGGCGCCAAGGTTTCTGAACTAGCCGTTATGTAATTAAGAATCTATAGGTTGCTTTCCCTGAAATGTTCAATCGGAAAATCGGGCTCGTTTTTGTCTTTTCTTTTGGTTTCTGGTGCCATATAGCTCCGTGTATTCGAGTGCTCCGTCGGCCGCAATTTTGAATGATGTAACGGTTCGTGAGGAAACTTTGGCATCTGGTCCGGACCACTAGAACTCCAATTAGGCTGAGGAGGAGCGTTAGGCGATACATAGTTTATTTTTTGGCGGTGAATAGACCCCTGTAACTTGCTTTTGGGGTACACCGCACAGTAAGATATCTGGAGCGTCAACTTTGCCGCAAAACGCTCGAAAGATCCTATTGCTCCAATCAACTAAGAGAGGTCGGCGAAGGACGAGATTGACTGAGCATATGTTTACACCTAAACAATAGTGTGCGTGTGTGCGTGTGCGTGTGCGCGTGCATGTGCGCGTGTGTGTGTGCGCGTGTGTTTGTGTGTGTGTGTGTGTTCGTGCGTGGGGGGGGGGGGGGGTGGTCTGAGAGAAGGCGAACACTCCATGGGTACGATTGTGGGGACCGTAAGCGCGAGAGCGAGATCTCATTTCCCTCTCACAAAGCGAGCGGAGCTAGCGTTTGTAGACGCTTTGCCTGCTAACGCGAACATGAAACGCAGTTCACCTGCTACAAAACAGTTTTTTCGAAAAAAAAAACAACGTTGTACGTTGTTTGTTGACACACCGGAAAAAAATGTTGATCGCCTGCTGCGAACCGAGCGCCGCGTAGCGTGAGATTGGAGGCGGGCTGGAATAGACCGATTGAAAAATTACCCAAGCATCAAGCAGAATACAGGGAGTGGTGCTCCGCGCGCCACACGCGCACGCCTTCCCCATATAAAAATTCGAAGTAAATAACCAAAATAAAGCACTGACCAACGCGCGTGAAAATAAAAATTGTTTTAGGCATTTGCTTTAGAAAAATTACTACTGCTGAGGCCAGCACGTACGGCCCTAGAACACCAATCCCGGCATTCTCCTTGATGCTTGGGTAATTTAGCAATAGGTCTATTATAACTGTCTGCTGTTTCACGTTCGAAGCCTTTGAATACTCGCGCTTTGTTGGCAAACCTCAAGTTGTTCCGCTGCGTTCACAAGGAGAAATTAGCGGGTAAGTAATGGAGTGCTTAGGTCAAGCAGACCAAAGGCCTCTTAATTATTTTCGCTATTGTGTATTGGTAAGGCGTTCTCATGAAAATTTTGCACTATAGGCTTATTTCAAAACTCGAAGCGCCTGATCCAACGTTACTAAATCACTCAGTTGGGAAACTCCCATAGTGACAGCTTTGAAAAAGTGGCCCCAGTCTGTCTCCGAACACCGAGCTAATGACGAACACAACGCCACCATTTCTCCCGCAGCGGCCACTCAAGGAACTGTACGTGACTTCTATTTTGGCTTTCAGAACAGATACAGCGGAAGAGGTTGCAGGGGTGCCACCCCCGTCGCCCCGGCGGACGCGCCGCGTTCAAGTACTGATGTTAAAATGCACCTAGGTCAGGACGCGCTACCTGAAAGGCCCGCTGAGGCATGGTTGTATAAAAACAATATTAATTGTGCTGCAAAACCTTGCGAACTAAAGATGATAAAAACATCACGCGCCCCTCATTTGGTACTAAACTCCAATAAATTTATACAAAAAGAGTCTTTTCCGTTTGTTTTTACGCAAAAACAGGCTTTCAAAAAGCTCGAGGAGACCACAGTACAGACAAACGAAAAAGAGTGGCGCTGTTGTCGCATTTAGCTCGGTCTCGGTGGACGCCAGCGGCCCAGGTTTCGACGGCGAGTTTCCCAACTGAGTGTTTTAGTAACGTTGGCCTGATCGCAGTGTAATTCCAGGTTATGCATTGTGGCAGTCAATGGGAATCAGAATCCACACACGCTCCGCTCCTGGCTTACTGGTTCCCAAAATGCAACGCATGCAGTGCCGAATTTATGAAAGAAGTCTTTCGCGAACTCGCGAACGGGGAAAACAATCGCTCATTGGTGAATAACTCGCGTGCTCTCGCGTCACGTCCATCGAAAATCCGTAAATGCTCTCCCTTTCACATTGCCTAAAATCGGACCCCTGATCTCTTACAGAAAGACGCAAATTGGGAACATAAAACCACTTTAATTGTCGAAAATATACACACGCCAGCCATTTTTTTTGGAGCGCAAGTTCGCCTGCTTTTTGAGCAGGGGTTGCGGTGACGTCAAAAGGCCGAGCTCTGATTGGCTCCGATTGGAGGTATAGTGGGCGAACCTCAAGACAGCCAGCATTCAGGTCTGACCGCCATCTCTCCATCAGGACCAATGAGACCTCGGCGTTCTGACGTCAGTGCAAACCCCTCCGCAAGGAACTGACGAACATGTGCTCCGCATAATCACCAACCATTCAAGAAATGCAGGGTTTGGCGTGGTTCCAGCTTCTTATCCTCAATCGGCAGCCAGTGAGGTCAAGGCATTACTCAGGGAGAATGCCTAAGAGCCAATCACGAAGAAAAAACCGTAATCAAGTAGTAAGGCACGCCCCGCGTTACTTTATCTTCCATATTTAATACCACCATGGATTTATATTTTCTTGGGCTGAATGAGTATAAGCAAGGCTCTTCAGTTTGCTAGGGGAGAGCATAAGCATCGACCTTAAACATAAACACCTACGATCGAATTTGATATAAAGCAATATTAACATGCCCATGAAGACACCATGCTTATGGAAGATAAGTTTAAAATTTAAACATAGTGTTTGCTGCCAACACTAAATGTCACCACTAGCGTTCGCGCGGAACGATAATGTAATCAAGCATGCTCGAGTCTTTATTTAAAAAAACAAGAAAAAAAACAAGTATTTCGTTTTTATGACTTACTGCGTTCATTAAAATAATAACGTAGCCGATGAGTTCAGTCAAAGTGAATACAGTATTGTGTGAGAGGTCAGAAACCACAGCTACTTCTGGGCGGACAGATGTTAGGAGAGTACCTGCTTGTCTCTTCGCTAGAAAAAAAAAGGAACAGATGGCCTAAAAATGGACTCATTGTTAATTACTTTTTGTCAAAATTTTCTACACCCTAAAATAAAAATAAAACTTTCGTATGGGCAAAAAAGGAAACCTGGGTGCACTTACCTATTTCAACGTGCTCTGTAACTGTGGTTGCGTTACGTTGATCTAGAAAACAGGAGGCACCATCAAAAATTGAAGTTTAAATTATGTACCGGTTGTAATATATATTAATATATACCGGTTCACATGCGTTTGTATGTGTATATAACTGTTGTATTGTCACTAGCTTTTTATTTCTGCATTGTCACTCCCGCGCATGCTGGCTTCGTTTCTTCCGTTCGCCGACACCAGAGATAGTCGGTACCCCGTCGTTCCTCCTCCCCCTTTCCCTCACCCTATCAGTATCCTCGTCCCGCTCAGAAAACTATACATTGCGGAACACAACCGAATAAAGACGTTGATACGCTGCCACCAGCTGTTCCTCGATTTTCTTCTCGCCGCACGCGGTGGCTTATGCGACGCAGCAGTGGCGACGAGTCCGGACCTCGCCCAAGCGGACAAAAAGCCCCGGAGGCAGCCATACAGCTCAGCAGCGTCCCGAGGACAGCTATGGCCCACCTGCAACTACCAGAATTCGACGAAGACAAAGATAAGTGGAAACTTTATCTCATTAAGGTCGAAGCCTACTTTGAGGCTAACACCGTCACAGACTCTGCTAAAAGAAGAGCGCTGCTAGTGGCGGCACTAAGCACGAAGACTGTACAAGTACTAGCAGGAAGAGTAGCCCCCCGCACGCCTAATTCTTTGACTTATGAACAAGTTGTACAAGCCCTGAATGAGAACTACGACCCGAAGCGATACGAAATAACGGAAAGTTACAAGTTCTTCAACCGTTGTCAAATGGAAGGCGAGTCTGTCCATGCGTTTCTGGTTGAAATACGTCGGATAGCAGACAATTGCAACTTTGGCAGCATGTTGGACCGCATGCTCAGGGACAGAATCATTTGCGGGGTACGCTCAAGTACGTTACAAAAGCAGCTGCTTGCAAAAAGAGAACTAACACTAGAAGAAGCCAAGCGAAGCCGAAGCGGTTTCGGCGGAAACAGCCGAGAACGACTCTAAAAAAATGTCTTCGGAGCCAGCGGCTTTACTGCAAGTGCAAGCGCGTCGTCATTCTTCAGCACAAGCTAACGTAAAGCGCGATGCCCCGCGAGAGTGCGGCAGGTGCGGGAGCACAAAGCATGATGAGAACAGCTGTGGCTGGGCCAACTCTCGTTGTTACCGTTGTGGACGGCATGGTCACTTGGCAAAGAAATGTCGGAACGCTGCTGCCCGCAAAAGCCAAGTGACTAAGGCGGCTCACGCAACGACCTTGGCTGTTGCTGAAGCTACGTCAGACGTGGAAGGCAGTGATGAAACGCACATCTGGACTTTAGTTTCAGAAAGAAAGAACTTTCTCGAACCGCCGATTCGCCGCACGTTAACGTGGGGGGGAGTAGATCTACCAATGGAAGTTTACACCGGATCTCCTGTTTGTGTCATATCACGGCAAATTTCTGAGAAACATCGCAATGTGTGGCCGTGCTTGAAGCCGTCACGTGTTAAGCTGTCATGCTACACAGGTCGTATTCCAGTGTTGGGTGAGCTTCAACTCCATGTGTGCTACAAAGGCGTGGACGTCGACTGCTCCCTGACTGTACTGGACTGTTCGGGACCATGCCTATGCGGCCGGGACCTCCTTGCTAAGCTGAAGGATGCCGGGATGTCTATTCTGCAGTGGGCCGGACACGACTCTACAGCGCCAGACCCAAAATGCAGCTCATCAGTCAACAACATCTTTAGTGACTACCAGGATGTCTTCTCCAGGGACCTGGGAGTAATCAAGGGACCTCCAGCCAGCCTGCAACTGAAAGACGGAGTTTCCCCCAAGTTCTGTAAGGCGAGACCCATCCCTTATGCGCTTCGTGATAAGGTGTCGTTAGAGCTTGACCGGCTAGTATCTCTCGGTGTGCTATCATCTGTAAAACACTCGGAATGGGCAACCCCCATAGTCCCAGTACTTAAGAAAGACGGCAATGTACGAATTTGTTGTGATTTCAAAGCCACATTGAACCCCGCCTGCGCAGTTGAACAATATCCGCTGCCTGTTATTGAGGATATTTTGCAGGCTTAAATGGTGGCGAAAGTTTCAGCACCTTGGACTTACGAGACGCGTATAATCAGGTTCCATTGGATGAAGCCGCGCGGAAGCTTTGTGTTATCAACACTCACAGGGGCTTGTTTTGTTATAATAGGCTTCCGTTTGGCATTGCCTCTGCTCCTGCAATCTTTCAAAGAAAAGTGGACGTGATACTTGCGGGCCTGCCGGGTGTGCAAGCCTATCTTGACGACGTGCTTGTATCCGAAAAAAAGGACGATAACGGGGCGTGACTGAAAAGTGTGCTGGAGCGATTTCGCGAACACGGTGTTAAACTGAGGTATGACAAGTGCACTTTTCGTCAACCTGCCGTCACTTATCTCGGTCATCGCATAGACAAGCAAGGCCTTCACCCGACTGAGAAAAACGTGGACGCAATCACACAGGCACCCAGCCCGCGTAACATCAGTGAGCTCCGTTCGTTCCTGGGAATGTTAACGTTTTATGCTAAGTTTCTGCCAAGCATGTCAACTCTCCTCGCTCCGCTATATCGACTATTGGAGAAAAATTCACGATGGCAGTGGAAACAACCACAGGAAATTGCTTTCAACAGGGCCAAGCAACGGCTTAAGGAAGCGAAGGTTCTGGTGCATTTCGACCCGGCTAAGCAGCTAAAGCTAGAATGCGACGCATCGCCGTATGGCTTGGGAGCAGTCCTGTTTCACACCTCGGGCAACGTTCACAAGCCCATCGGGTTCCGCTCTAGGACATTAACACAAGCAGAACGGAACTATTCTCTGCTTGAGCGAGAGGCCCTCGCACTCGTGTTTGGTGTGACAAAGTTTCGGGATTATCTCCTTGGTCGAGAGTTTACCTTGGTTACCGACCACCAGCCACTCCTGGGCCTCCTGAGAGCTGACCGACTGACTCCGGCAATGCCCGCCGCCCGGATTCAACGCTGGGCGCTTTACCTGGGTGGCTACCGTTACAAGCTGCACTACGTGCCAGGAAAGCAGTTGCTGAACTCGGACGCCCTAAGCAGATTGCCGATGCTGTCAACGGAGCCGGAAGATGACGGTGAGCCCCCAGAGTATGTTCTCTCCTTGCAGACCTTGAATGACGGCGTGGTGACATCGCGCGAGCTAAAAGATTTTACGGCCGCCGATTCCACCCTAGCTCGTGTCAAGCATTACATATTGCGCGGCTGGCCTAAAAGTACGAAGGGACTGGAGCCTTCTTTGCTGCCATTTTATGATCGCAAGCTGGAGTTGTCGGTGGCACACGAACTAGTATACTGGGGTAATCGAGCGATCATACCGGTAAAAGCCCAGTCGAGAATGCTGCAGCTACTGCATGAAACGCACCAAGGTTCCTCGGCTATGAAGTCTGTTGCCTGATCGTTGTTTTGGTGGCCAGGACTAGACCGCGACATCGAAAGACTGTCAGCTAACTGTCACAACTGCATAATGAACTTGCCCATGCCGACAGCAGCACCCCCGGTGCCTTGGCCAAAGACCCTAGAGAAGTCGTCTCGGCTACACATAGATTCTGCAGGACCGCTAGCTGGGAAGATGATACTCGTAGTGGTGGACAGCCATTCCAAATGGATCGAAGCTGTACCCACGAAGCACGCTACCACAGCGAGTACGATCAGCTGTCTACGCAACATTTTCAGCCATTTTGGCGTGCCACGTACAATAGTTTCTGAAAACGGAACGCAGTTCACTAGCCAAGAATTTGCCACATTCGTAAAGAAAAACCATATCACTCACCTCCGCACAGCCCCTTTTCACCCTCAGTCGAACGGAGCAGCCGAAAGGGCATTTCGAACAGTGAAAGATGGCCTTCGTAAAATGAAAGAGGGGATATTGGAAGACAAACTGTCGAGGTTGCTATTCAATTATAGAAGGACTCCTCAGCGCACGGGGAAATCGCCTTCCGAGATGCTACTGCGTTACCGGATACGTTCTCGTTTAGACGCATGTTTTCCTCAAACTGTCGCAGAGCCACCACAGGGACGTAATGACTGGGCGGTACAACCGGACAGCACCGTCTATGTGCGCAATTACGGCGTCGGTGAGAAATGGACACCCGGGCGCGTCAAGACCACAACAGGAGCCCGGATGGCGACCGTGGAAACCCCCACAGCGGTTATTCGGCGGCACACCGACCAAGTACGCCCCCGCCACGACGCAAGCCCGCAGAGTCTGCCAGATAGCCGCGCATCAAACGCTACAGAGGCTTCAGGTCGAGCATCGCCTTCCCAAGCCGTCGAAGCGGCTGTGGGGCCTAGCGCTCAGCTATCTCCCGACAGGGAGCAGCAGCTACATTACCCGACTACGCCGCCATCCTCTACCACGAAGACGGACGCAGGTGGAGCTCAACCAGCGATCCCCCGGCGGTCGACAAGACTTCGTAAACCAATAGATAGGTTTCACTATTAAGGGGAGAGAAATTGTTGTATTGTCACTAGCTTTTTATTTCTGCATTGTCGCTCCCGCGCATGCTGGCTTCGTTTCTTCCGTTCGCCGACACCAGAGATAGTCGGTACCCCGTCGTTCCTCCTCCCCCTTTCCCTCACCCTATCAGTATCCTCCCCCCGCTCAGAAAACTATATGTTGCGGAACACAACCGAATAAAGACGTTGATACGCTGCCACCAGCTGTTCCTCGGTTTTCTTCACGCCGCACGCGGTGGCTTATGCGACGCAGCAATAACCGGTACAAATTATATACCGGTTATAATATATATTAATATATACCGGTTCACATGCGTTAATCACTGTTGAACGTCAATGCATAACCATAATTTAATGAAATAATATGCCACGACTTGTGTTTTTTTAAGTTATAGATGATTATAGAGCTATAAATAAGGCAGACAGCACAGGAGGAAAATGGAGAGTCAAATTAAGAGACACTCAAACAACTGAGAACGTTCTCAAACCCTTGTGAGTGATTTTATTCCTGACCAGAGTATAATGCTGTCAGATTTTTTTTCTCCTTCAGGGGCTTTCGTTGTTAACATTCCTGACTGTCACAGGACTGCACAGAAAGTTGCGCTACCGAAAATGACACTTTGAGCTGGTTTTGATGATTTGAAAATGGACCGCCACGTTACTAAGGGACTAGGGTTCGATGTCTTTCATTTTAGGCAGTTTCCACATGTGACCGCGGACTTGCCGAAATACGTTTTGACCTAAAACAAAAAATGTGTGCGATTTAACACTGGGCATACCGTAAGCATGTGAAAGCTTGTGGTCAGTGTCAAAGCGCCGATAGTTTTTTTGTTTTTGTTTTTTGTTTTTGTTTTTGGTTTAAACTCATTTTCGTGCTCATAATTTGCCGAGTTCACTCCGTAAATTGGAGCCGTAAATATTTTTCAAAAGTCTGTGCCATCTCCTGTACGCCATTATTGATTACTTACGCTGAGCAGACATTGGACACGAGTGTGAAGTCTGCGTTCAGCGAGTAGCCGGATCCAGTCGCGTGCTTTGTGGCCAAGGAATGGCGGTCGTCAATGTTGCCTAATGAACTTTTGAAAAGAGTTGAAGTATTTTGCGGCAAAGTAGCTGAACGAAGCTCCTGAAAGTGTAGCTAATTCCTCTTGGAATTCTACTGTCTTCCCGTATTAATATATAATTACCCGATGCGTGTGTGTAGTTTACGGATGCACGTTCGATGAGCTCCACTTTGTGGAGCAGTCCGCTGTCCACGCGGCGGCGTGCCCTGACTGTTAAGGGCGAAATCTTGAACTTCGGATTCAGCATGCCGTCCTGCACAAGATGAATATCACAATCTAACGTTGTTGTAAAGGGGGACTCCTGTGGTGTGTTTTAGATACACGAACAAAACCTATTTCCGGAATGGCCGGGCTCGTCTCGTGCATTCTTCCCATTGTCCTTGTGTTTTTGCCTGCTGCTACCAGTTGTAATCATGCACCAACTCGCCTGCATCGCCATATTGATCTACTTTCTCACACCTGCTATTCATTATCTTTTTAAATTTTAAATAGCTATGGAGAAAACGGCCAATGAAGGTTATGCCAAAACCAACACGCTTTCCAGTAGTATGTTGTCACATGTTGTATAAATTGAAATGTCGAGCAGGCATTCTAAAAAAAACAAAGTATTTTGGGGATGTTCTTTTTATTTTGGTTGCGTGAGCTTAACCAGTTTTTATTTTATAACATCAAACTACTTGTAACCAGTTTGAACAAGCTGGTTCCCCCCTGTTACTTCCCACTACAACATTTGGCGTCAAGCATTCAGTTTTGCCAGTAGAACCTGAAAGTTCAATAACTTCGCGAAAAAAGTTTCAGGGACTTGCGTGTCTGTAGATGTTTTGAATCAATCATTAGGCGAATCGGCGACTATAAAAATTAAACGGATTTCCTTTAAACACTTTCTGGATGAAACACTGGCGATGTTTTGCGTCAAGTTGAAGTCCCCACAATATACAGCGAACATAGCTTTTACAATAAACATGAAGTGATTCGAGGGGCAAATAAGACAACGAAGAAAATAGCAGAACAAGAAAAGAAGACGACGACGACGAGGGAGGAGGTAGAATAAAAAAGTGTATGATTAAGATGTGTGGTATGAATTTATACAGACCTAACAATTTTACAGATTACCCTACAGAGTACAGATTAATTAAAATGTGGGAAATCTTTCACATAGATCCTGGTTCTTGCGAAGGACTATTGTTTTGAGCTACAATTTTGAAGTCAGTATCACGACGGATCTTTCTCGACACGTCAACACGTTAACATATCGCACTTGGTCGAGCTGGTCAAACAGGAGGCGAAGAATTCGAACGCAGAATTCCTTAGCTCAACATCCGTGAAGATAAACCTCAAAAATTTAATTCTTGAAGAAATATTGCTACGGCCATACCGGAAAGTATCCGAAGAGACCTGAAACACGACGATGATGACGCGAGCCTTTTAAATACAACAGCAGCTGTTAATCCAGCAAAGTGAGGTGATGCGGGCCGTTGTTCCTTCGACTAAAGGAAACTAAAAACCAAGATTTGAAATGGTAAGGCCAAACATGTTTGATGTTCATTTATCAGCTCCTGAAGGGTGGATTAAATTTTAAGGGGACAATTTTGAAAGAAAACGAAAAAAAAAAAACTACTGTAAGTCCGAGCAGGACCGCATCAAGAACATCCGCCTCTTCTTAATTGTCTAACATCTCAAAGAAGTGGCACGAACTTCATTTTGTGGATCACCCGGGAGCAAGCTGGAGGGATGGCAAGGCAAATTTTCTCACAATTACTATCTTTGCTGATGTAATTCCGATGTTGTACACTGAATTGTTCAATATGAGCACCTACCCTTCAGCTAATGCAAAATTCAGGGTGCCCTTAGACATCAGTGACGAAGCAGTGGTGCAACAAATACTAAAACGTGACCAGAGAGATTGCTTGTCTAAAGCAGGAGCTACAAAACATGCTTAATGCGGGCCTCATCCGACCTTCAGTGTTTCCATTTGCGTCACATATCACCATTGCCCCCGAAGAAGAAGGAACCTTCAGCCTCTGCACGAACTACCTTGTTTTAAACTAGCAGAAAGTTATTCATTCTCTTCGCATACTACAAATTGCAACCGTCATTGATGAAACAGAATGGTGCCGATACTTTTCTCGGATTAACCTCTGCAAGAGATTTTGGAAAGTTCCTCTGCAAAAACAATAAAAATTTACATAACGTTCCAACACCTTTCGACCGCTATGAGTACAACCGCCTTCCCTTTTGCTGGAAAAACTTTCCTGCGTATTTTTAGAACATAATGAAACTGGCCTTAAAAGGGTACTTTGTCGTTTTCTTTATGGTACCCGATTTGCCTCAAGATGTGCTAAACACACCAACAAACATCATTGAAGTAGTAACCCAAATATTAGGGCAAAATAATGTTTTCCGCAGTTAAATATTGATATTCGTATTTTTCTTCATACAGAAAGTTTCTACAGGCAACAATGAAAACGTGACGGCTGCGTCAGGTGGAGTTTCGGTCTGTGGGCTGTAGGATGTGTTCCTAACTGATCACAAGCAGTTTCGTTGTCAAATGAAGGCTTTCGAAACTCGCGCCAGCACGAAACAAAAATTCTCTTGGTAGTCCTTCATTAGACTGCCTGCTCAACCTGCAAGCCTGCCTGCCACTGACATCACCACTGAAAAGCGCTATTGGAATGTTCTTTTTGACATCATTTTCATTTGCCGATTCACAATAATTATTTTAAATTCAGCGATCCAGCATACCGTAAAAGATAAAGACCGGCGATTCACAATAAACTAGTCAAATCGGCTAGCCAAAAAAAGAAAGAAAAAATGCCGGAGTATTTTTTAAAGTTCTTACCTTGGAGTTTTTTGCAACGTCTATCATGGTTTTTTATATTTGTTACTTTTTTATTTGGGTCCTTTTTCTCCCTGATTTGTTCACGCATTGGCTGCGAAGTTGGTTTCTTCTTGCTTCAGTTTTTCGCTCTGACTACCCCTAAACCTGGCGGACCTACATGTCTGGCAAAGCCGTGCTTTTCACCGCACTTCACTTTTCCATTTAAAGTTTGATTTGGTGAAATCAGTGCAACTACAGAAGTGGTGCGAGTAGTCACATTTTGCGCATTTCATTGAACCATCCACGTCTGTTAGTACGTTATGGCAGCATAAACAAGTGTCATTCAAGGCACATACAATACTCAGGTTACTAAAACCGTCACACTGTCAAACAAGTACAATCAGGCAGTTCAATGACACTCAGCAAAGCAGCTGCCGCAGCAGCCTCAATCTTTTTACGCGAATGTAGCACTCAGAATAAAAGAAGCGAATATGATTTTCAGCCTGTAACGTTGCGAGCAGAAGTGTCAGTTTCGTTGCACTTCTGCCGGCGCTGCTTCCAAACTCGTAGTGTCCCTGGTCCGTCAGTTTTTGTAACTCAGTTCCCTGGCAGCCTGTAGCTCCTCTAGGGACTAGTCGAATCAGGGGCCCGGGATGTTTGCAGTGCTGAGAAGGTGATCTTCAGCGTGTGTCTTCATTTGATGAGGCAGCAGCTGGCTGGAAGCCTCTGTAATGTTGAGAGCAGAAATTTCAGTTTTCTATCACCTCTACCGCCGCTGCTGCCAACTGCGTAGGCGCACCGTCCTTGGCATTAAATATGGAAATGGGGTGTACTCCAGGTCTCTAAAGTCGGGCTTTGTGGATTTTCCAAGAATAGTATGGATTGGGGGCTTTAGTTTCCTGCTATCGCATGTGGCTGGTCAATCCTCAAACTAGGGCGTCATTGTGGGTGTTTGGTGTGAAAGGATGGGGGCAGTAAAAATCATTTGAATCAATCCGAGTGTCCGGCTTTCGGTGACCTAGTGGAAAAAAAGGTGTTCCTTTATTGGTGGTGAGGTTCAAGAGGTAGATATAAGAACG